TCTCTCTCTCTCCTAATCAAAACATTCAGTTGGCTTAAGATCTTTGGGCTAGGTAGGGAAATAGCTCAGTGGTAGAGCACATGCTTAGCATGTACAAGGTTCTGGGTCCAATCCCTAGGGACCTCCACTAATAAATAAATATAGAAATAAATAAATATCATCAATGTGATAGCAAGCACTAGATGAAATAATTAAAGTGAAATATGACTGACATGTTAGCAAGTAAAGCTTTACCCTACGTAAAGGCCAGAATTCAATTAAGCATTTTAAAACTCTGGAAAAATCCTTGAACCTAATAATCAATCTCTCAGAATCCCTGAGAAGTATAGGGACTCCAAACTGAGCACTTTAGTGTCTCCTAACATCAACAGAAACATCCAAGTCAAAGCTGACATTTTAAAAATCTATTTCTTATGCTTATATACATTTTTCAAACATGGGTACCAATAATAACATCTGCCTTACTTAAGTCATCTTTCAATTAAATTTGAAAAAATAAAAGGAATTAGAAATGAGAAGGCTGTACTCCATTGCAGAGTTAAATTTGTATTGCAAAATTTACCTGATTTCAATCTTTGTAAATTCTTCATTTCTCCTGTTTTATTAGGAACAGAATCTTTCACTCCAACTGCAGGCTGAATGGTTTTTGAAACAAACCGATTAATAATGTACATTTGATACAATCTGTTGTAATAATTCAAAGGGGGAAGGTCTAGCTCAGTGGCAGAGTGCCTGCTTAGCAGTGCATGAGGTCCTAGGCTAAATTCCCAGCACCCTCATTAAAAAAAAAATTCAAGATAAAAGTACAAAAGTTTTTACCTTCAGGTGAGGATATCTTTCAGTAGAATCTAAAAGCCAAAAGGGACACATAATCAATTATATGTAAATATGAAAGCCAACTATCCATTCATGCAGTTAGTACTGAGTGCAACCCTCATGCTTGCTTTAGAAATGAACACGTTAGGTTTCGGTGTTTTGTTTTTCAGGGGCAGTTAGGACAGCAACAAGACAGAAATTTGAATCCATTATACATACTCAATAAAGAGCAGGAATATAGGTTTAACGAAACATGCAGTTAAGATCTCAAAAGTACGATTATGTTTCAAATGACTTTATAAAATAGAAACGTGCACGTATACCAATGTGAACATGCTGCCTGAGGAGGAGAAAAGCGATCTCCAATCAGAGGAACAAGTCACGGCTCCAAGAAGACAAATGTGAAAGCTGATGGTAAAATGCAACAGCACATCTTTAATGCGACTGACACCATTAGACTACAAGTATTTATCACGCCCTTCAATTTGTCCTGTGATTTAGGAAGTCCACAGCTGTGATGGCAGTTCATTCGAATGTGCAATTCACTTCTCGTCAGAGAAAGTGTTATGAATTGATCAGCTTGGATACACACTTGTAGAATAATCGTTCATAAGCATTTTTTTCCCATACCCACATGGGCTATTGGTATGCCTACATTTCTTGGATCCTCTAGCCATCAAAGTTTCTTGATCCACTCATACAAGAGAGAATGTATACTGTTTTCAATATTGAAATCTGGTGATTAAAAAAAAATTCATCACCACAGAATTATTAGACATTAAAAGTCTTTTATATTTCAAAACCTGTGTAGTATTCACTGAAAATAACAACTTTAGCATTTATGGAATGAATTCTATTATAATTTCTTTTATTTCCAAAATTGGTTTGGTAAGTCAGGCTAATGTTTAAAAGGATGTTTGTGAAACAACTATCTTATCAAAAAATTAGGTATCAGTAAAAAACAAACAAACAAACAAACACCACAGCCAATGCTTCATATTCAAATCAATCTCACTTGAATAACAAATACCAATACAACATAGTATCTTTGAAGCCTGATAGGAGGAGTGGCTGTGGTTTACCCCAATTCTAGGCCGCCTCCTGATTCCAGTATTCTCTGGAGTGGCAACGATCTAACCTTGCTTCTGTACAAATATACTGACGCCATCAAAAAGGCGTTCTCGCAAGTTTCCCCTCAATTCCAAAATCACCTACCTGCGGCCTTTTTTCCCCTCCTTCCTTCCTTTCACTTTCCTCTTCAAAGGTACCTCTAGATCTGTGGTCTTAATGCTTCCCCTTCTCCATTCTTTGGACGGATGATGCCCACCACTTCTTTTCCCTCTCTGCTTAGCAGCAGTATCTTACATCTCTAATTTCTACTTCAACTCTTTGCCTCGCTCTGGCTATGAACGTGCTCAGAAAGAAAAACACAAAATTGTGCTTTTCCTTGATGCTGTTATGTCTTTAACTCCCCAGTGGCTCTTCTTCTAGATTGCCCTAAACACAAGTCTATCCTCTGAGCGTGATCTGAAGACCAGCAACAAGGACATCACCTGAGAGCTTGTTAGAAACGCAGGCCCACTGCTCACAATGTGCACTTTTCACTGGGTCCCCAGGTGACAGAGTAAAATGTGAGCAACTCCGGTCTATACTGAGTCTGCTTCTGCAGCACTCGGACTGAACTGATCCTTCTGAAATCCAGCCGCACGCGTCTCACTGTAACACGTCCCCAAAAGCTCCATCAGGAGTTGCAGACTTTCCAGTGGACTCTTTACCAGGCTCCAGCGCCCCTGACCTCCCCGGAACGCCCCCTGCCCTCTTCCTCTTTCCGACTCTCTTCTGTTGGCCTATGAGACACCATCTTATAAGGCAGCAGCACACTGCATGACACGAAGGTCCAGACATTGACAGCTGACCACACGCGCCTGTGCTCACCCACGGCAGCCACACCCAGCTCTGCGTGATCAGGTACCGCAGTCCTCACTGCCTTCCTAACGATCAGGGGACGGGGGAGTGGGACATTCTGCTGTGCTTCCCGGACAAGCTTTGGTGCTGGAAGCAGCTCACTTCATGCCCATCTCATTTCAAACACTCCTCTTCCTTCTTCTAAAGAACTATTCTACATTCATTACCACCTCCTGCCAGGGACCCCCCTCCTTTTTCTTCATTTACTCCCCTCCTCTCTACCTCTTTCATTCTTCACTCCCTCTTTCCCTCCTCCTGATTTCCTGACTGTCCTCAGGTCACAGAGCATCTTGAAAGAAAGCTAACAACTGAGCTCCTTAAACGGCATTCTAGTTTAATCTCTTGCTGACACCTGGTAAGATATACAATTTACTTCCTTTCCTCCTCTTCTTTCTCACTATACGTTCAACAGGTGATTTTCTTTGGCTGAGAGAATAGATCCAAATCCTTGTTTTAAATCAACATTCTGTTAAATGACTTTTTTTATAAAATACAGTGCTTACTTTCTATTTGTCCATTTAATATATTTTTTTCTCTTAGACCTGCAGCTCCAGATGAATGATCAACATGGTTCGGTAGTTCAATCTTGGAGGTATTCTGTTAAAATTAATATTAATAATGAGATGCAAGATTTCCTGATCCCTTTCTAAGAAAATACCTGTGTTTCCTACCTTATTATTATTTTTTAATTTCCTACTTTAAAAGCAATTAGACTTAAAAACAAAATAAGCATATCCTGGAAACCCAAACATTTAAATAGAAAATTTCATATACACTCTCTCGATCAAGTCTATCTTTTATCTTCAGTTGGCTTTTGACTCTGTAAACTGAGCATGGAAAGCCAGAGCAAATATTTTCATAGACCAAATACTGACCTATGTGCAGATTTCAACAAAGAATTAACTTCAAAACACCAAATTCCATTTTGCATTCCTCGACAAAAGGACACTTAAAAAAATACCTATTTTTATATGTAGAACTGAATTGCTTTGCAGTACACTTGAAACTAACATCATAAACTGACTACACTTCAATAAAAAATAAAATTAAAAATAAATAAACATATTCTTCAGTAAGTATACGTGCTATAAATTTAAAATGTTTCTTAGGACAGACATTGTTTTTAATATTAAAATAACATACTTGGCACGAAAAGAAGCCTTGGAGTCTGTCATGTTGAGTATTAACAGAACACTGTGGAAACTGCTACATTTCAGTAAAGAAAGGCTTAGCAGAATCTAACGATTATTTGATAAAACTTCTATTGATAGGAAAAATAGTTGAATAAAGTACCAAAGTAGAAAGAAAAACATTTATGTTTAAATTAACAGCAGAAAAATTTTAAATGTAGTTATGCAGCTCTTCAAAAAAGTACCATAAGCTTTACTTTACTTAGGGAAGAATAAGAACAGTGTTTAGTGACCATCCGCATGTGCCAGGCCCTTATCATGCACGTTCTCCTTTCTACACACAACGATAGTAAAAGTGATTCTAAGGACGGTTACCCACTTGCTGCTTCCTGGCCACTCCAAGATGCTGGAGTACCGT